TAAAACCTTAGTCTTATTTTTGTATTGTTGAATTGTACAAGAAACATTCTGCCTACTGTTTGTCTGGTTTCATTTCACCATATAGTTCGATTCTTGTTTCGTCTTGAAAATTGGAAGTTTGCCGTTGTAGAATAATGCTGTTATTCTTTGCTTTAAGCTTTTGGGCAAAAAGCTATTAAAAACATTTTACAGGGTTTTACCTACATCAGGGGTGGGGAACCTATGGCTCATGGGCTAGATGTGGGCCCCGGCTTGCCTGGATCTGGCTCCCATTGCGTGGGGCTCCCCCCCACATTGGGGAGCCTGTGCTGGTGCTCGAGTTCCCCACTATTTCCTCATGGCACTGGATCACACACAATTTACTAGCCTGGGATCCCTTAGACTCTGGTATACGAGGAGAGTGTCTTTCTCCTTAGCCAGGGGCCACAACTTTTTGGTTTTTTGTTTTATTTTGTTTTCTTCTCTACTCCTGATCTACATGACTTACATTAATAAAGTGCATAGTTGGATCACTGCATATTGCCTGGGAAATCTGCCCCAAAACATACACTGCTGCTGTCTCAAAGTGAGGGAGAAAAGGTATTTTCTTTTTGTGCCCTGCCAGTGCTCTTCTAACAAATATGTAACTGATAGACAGAAACATGTAAGTGAAAACAGATGTGTTACTTAGGAAAGGAATGCAGTTCTTAGATTTGAGTGTCAAAATCATCTGTTGGATGCTGGAAAATACAAAACATTAGCTGAGTAATGTTTAATAAAATATACTCCCCCCACACACACACATTGCATATAACTTTGGTTTATGGAAAATCTCATGTATTTCCTTTTATATTCAAGGTGCTGAAAACTAGTATTGCAATAGTTGTACAAGCAAATGCAGAAACCGTTATGTGCTTATTCTCATGTAGCCTACGATGTTTGAACTTCTTTTGATTGGGAAGAAACACTGGCCATTTGAAGTAATTTCAAATTGTCAGAGGATTTTTAGCCTCATACTGAACAGAGAAAGGAAAATACATTTCTTTAATATCCCCAAAAAGTGGACTTCCCCCAATACACCTATATACCATAATAATCCACTTTAAGGTCAACAGTAAATATGAGTTAAGTTCTGCTGTTGGATTTGACTTGCACTGTTCAGATACAGACTGATCAGTCTTGTTCCCATCAGTAATACATTAATTTATTTTGCTTAAGTTCAGTACTCCGTGATTAGTATGTTATCTTTAACTGTTGCTAATAACATAGCCTAGGAATGTGCAAAAATTAGTTAAATAGGATCACTTTTGTAGAGATCCTTTTCTCTTGTGTTAAAATTACTAGGTACAAAGAAGTGAATGCAATGATCTTAGTGTCTGTTCTCGAGCTGATACATATAAATCATTGGGTGTGAAATTACCATTATTCAAATGAGTGATATCTGCTACTAATTTTAATAAAATTTGGTTTATTCATAAACCTTAGGAACAGGAGTTGCCTATCTTGTAGCAATGTTTGAAGATCTGTTGTTGCTGGATAACAAAAATCTGTAATGTGGGCATAACTATTACTACATACGCATGGTTTAAAAAAATTTAAAACTTTAGTGGTCTATCTCAGATGTCCTACTTCCCATGAATTAAAGTTGAAATGCGCATAGGGTTATCCCACCCCCTATTACAAAACAAATCTGATAAACAAATACCATATTACAATAGATAAACTGATCCTTGGAATGGGGGATGTCAGAAGGAATGCTCCCTCTGGGTGTGTCTACACAGCAAAGAAAAATCTGTGGCTTGTCACCTGCCAGTTGGCTGTGGTCCACAGGGGCTGTTTCATGGCTAGGATCCTAGGCTGGAGCTCAAGTTCTGACCCCAGAAGTCTACACAGTAATCAATCAGCCTTGCAGCCCGAGCCCCATGAACCTGTCAGTTGGCACAGACCAGTTGCTGTTTGTTTGTTCATTTTGCGTAGATATATTCATAATACTCAGAATTATATAGTTGTGCTAGGTGTATTATGACTTTTTTGTCTTCCACTTTAACATCAGGTTATTGGTTATTACTACATGCTTGGTGGCATCAGACGGCTTATTCCCAATTTCCTTCTAATTTAATGATCATCATCAGTTACCAGAAAAGTGTGTTTATAAATCAATAAAAATGGTGTCAGTATAGATTTAGATACTGTATTTATAATGATAACATTAGTTACTAGTATGGTTCTCCAAAAAAAATGGTACTATGAAATAAGACACAAAGTGTGGCAATTACAGGCCAAATTCTCTTATTAATAAAAAAGCAAAAACAGTCCTGTGCAACTTATTGTCTTCCCATTGTATTTGTCCTTTAAACAGTGATGTTTCCCAGGCTGTTCCATTCATACAGTCCAGTGTTCATTCAGAAACATAACATTTCCTTTGGTTGATGGATTAAAGGGGGAAATGTGAAATTGTTTTGGGATGTGCAATACACTTGGAACAAAGCCTGTAAAGTTAATTTATGTTAGCAGCTTGCAAGATAATTTTAGATTATTTGAATTTAACTTCAAAAATAAAAAGGTGTCGTGTCTCAACTGTACTTTCCTGAATAAAATTTGAGATTACTAAAAGACATAATACCTTTTCCATGTTCAGTGCAACTACTAAGGAAAGAAGAAGTTGCAGTCATTTAATAACAATTTTCTGTCAGTGTTCTATTAACCTTTCAAAACAATTTAAGATACAAATTGAATGATCATTAATTTTGGCTAATCTATCATATTTATTGGAATATTAATGTAGTGGCATGTAGTATGTTAGGTGACAGAATAAAAAGAAATCAAGTAAGGTAAGTCAAGCACTTTAAGGCTTACTATTTGCTTTTCACATCCAGTTAAACCAGGTGTGACTAGTAATATGAGCCTTAACAGAAGTTGGCTTTCTGAAGTGCTCTTTGTAGATATAACAGAAAACAAAATGAGCAGGTGTTAAAGCAATGAAAAGGTAAACAATAAGTCATTCTATAAGATGGTTAGCTGCTAAACATAGAAAGAAACCATTATAAATGGGCAGTGTGCACATATGGAAACATTTGCAGAACTCAGAGAAATACTTAAATGTGTGTGTCCTCTTTAAAAACAACCAAAAAATGACCTTTTGAATTCTCATTGTTGGATTTGTTTGTCTATTATTTTGTAAAGGATTTCCTAGAGGTTGGCAGGAAAAAGAGAAGTTTGACTAATTGAGGGGGAATTATCTTACAGGTTTTTGCTTTACCTGATGTCACTTTATTAAGAAAACACAATATTACAATAATTTATATGTAGCATAGAATGCTTCTGTGTGCTTTTATTATTCATTTTAGGAAATGACTTGTGGATGGATTAGATTGTTTTATTTTGTATATTTTCATCTTGCATTGTAAATCTGTTAGTGTTGCTCTAACACTGCAATGGAAAATATTGGTAAATCAAGAGAGATGAATGTACAGGTGTATGAAGGGAAACGAACAGGAAGTTAAAGCAAAAGAGTGAATACGGAAGCAAAATGCAGGACAATGTGAATACGGACTGGACATTTAAGATCTATTTGGCAAACTTGTGTGACTAAAATTAATCATCCTAAAACCCTAAAAGAAGGCTTGTGGCATAAGGGTCTGTGTAAAATCTTCCAAGTTTCCAAATTATGAACTGAGTCTAAGGCTAGCTTTCATATATGAAGGTACGCATTGCTTTATATTTTGAAAAAATGCTTCTGTGTGTTAAACATGCACTCTTAGCTGATTTCACAGGGTACATAATCCTGGTTATCTGTGTACCTGCTGGGAGGAAGTGAGTCCTAACACAAATATTATTCCATAATGATAATTCATTATAAATGTTGGAATAAACAAAGAAGTTGACACTTTGTACTTCAGTTTGCAAATCAGCACCATTTTTATGTTGTCATTGAAGCATGTGAGGGTAAATGTTTTCAGTAAGTATTGTAATTAAGTTGATAGGTTAAAGCATTCTTTTTGCTTAAAATACAGGCATAATAGTGTGAAATAGATTTAGGATAAGAGCTATACCATGCAACTAAACTGTTTCTTGAACATAGATTAAAATTGTGCAACTCAAGCTTAAATCAAAATTTAATATACTGGTTAATATTTTGGGAAAGTCTGAATTAGTTTCGGTAAAATTGAAACTTGTTCATGTGGCATTGAATGTATTTGTATTCTCTATTAACATTAAAAATGTTTGAGTGAATAATTTAATTTCTAATCTGCTATTCACGTAGAATATTGCCTCCTTTCAGGTATTTTGTGTGTACCTCTCTGTGTGCATATATACATATGCATTCCCTCAATTATAACAGGTTGTTCTGTAGCAGTTATGAGGACAGAGAGATTTCTGCACTAGCTTTGTTTCGACTTTTTCATTTATAAACTCACTATTTAAGTGGAAGAGTTACAGAATACAAATGATTTTAATTATGTGGAGCTTTCCTGAAACTGTCATTTCCCTGGCTTAATTTCAGTACACATCAGTCTCTGGAGATGCTGAAAGCAGTATTTGCAGATTTAGACACAGAATCTTGAGTCACATACTTAAATTTATCTCTGTAGAATATGCTGAAAATGTATTCCATGTAAATAAACTGTATACCCTTTTAAATAGAGACAAGCTATCCACTGTCAGTTGTTTCTAAAGTTTTTCCTATTACTCATTGCTACATGTATGATTTTTCACATAAATGCCTGCAGCCAGTACATAAAACTGCTAGTAACTATTGTCATTAAAGCTGAGTTGCAAGTTAAACAGCATATTTGTTCTGCAGAATAATATAGCTCTCACTTCTTTTCTACTTATTGTATCCCTAACTTCAACATGAGCTTTTGATTGGACCACTTCATTCTCAAATTTAGCTTGGGAAATACATAGTTTGACAATTTTGTGAAATTAGAGATTTACAGAAGTAGAAAAAGAAGCATTAGTAAAAAATACATAAACATTTTATGTCAGACCCTGTATTTTACAATAGAAATCAGTCTTACCTTCATTAGCCGCTGAGTGTTGTTTTCCATGCTGTTTTCAAGTAGTTGGAGTCTTTGTACAGAATCATCATAATCTAGTGGTGCATCTCTCTGCACTGCATTAGATACATAGGAGCTGGAAGAAGAGCGGCAGTTGTCCATCTCAGGCAATAGAAAGGTATAACTGCACGACCCATGCTGAACCTGGTACTGCTTCTTGCCTATAGTCTCCATGCTTTTACGAAAAGAGCTGTACCCTGAAGCTGAAACAAGATTACAGCTCAAAATAAAGTAAACAGCCAGCCACATTTTAATTGCTACGATAACTCTGCAAATCTTAAGTACTGTATTTTCAGTATTCTTAACAAGAGTTCAGAATATCTAGTTATCTGCTCTGAAATTCAGTGCTTTACTGCCATGTAAAGTACTCTGAATGAGGGCATTTTTTACTTTTCTAGTTGCAAAGTTGGTAAAAAAGTGCTGTCTTCTCTCCAGCTGTGCCCTCACTGTCAGAAACAGTCCTGTCTCAGCTGCAAGTTCTATGTTGGTTTTTAAAATAAGCTTTAATGTTTTCTTCTGCTTGTCTTTTGGCAAGATTTTACAGCTTTGGTATCTGAATCAATCACTTTCCTTTCCTTATATGATAAGTTGATAAGAGTAGCCAGACATGTGTAGCTAAACTGCTCCTCCCTCCTGGCTTATCCGTTATCTTCCTGTAGAGGGGGTCGCTTGCAAGGCAGAACAAAGATCAGAGCACACTTCTGAATGCTGCATGGTATGCGGCACTAAATCTTTTCAAAACCTGATCACTTATAGGACCCCTATGAATTTCTTTAGCACAACTCTAATTAAGAATTTCCTAGACAGAGAAATCAGTTCTGCAAGCCTCCACCTATGCTTCCAGTACAACCTTGTAAATTATTTGTTGTAATCATTTTAAAGTATGCCCACAAAAGGTCCTTTGTTTGTTCCTCTTAAAGAAAAATTCTTTTGAAATGTGTCTGACCAGCATAGCTTGGCCTATGTTTAATAGTTTGTATAAATGAAGAGGAGGATACTTCTAATCAGACAAAAGCAGGCTTCAGTCTACCCTTTCAGAAAGAAATAATGCTCTTTTTTAAGTATTGAACCTTCAACTGTGAACAGATTATGTGTAAATATATTCTACTGCAATTAAAGTAGACTTTTATGTAAATCATGTAAATATGAACAACAAAACTTGAAAGCAGTTTTTAAATGTTAGTCATTTATATTAACTGGCTAATTTAAATTATATTCGTTTTTTAAATATTAAATCAAAAGTCAGCTAGGAAAAAGGGAATAACTTTTCAGAGTAGTTGTAGGAATTCCTCAGTACATGACATGAGGGGAGAGGTATCATACTGGTCCAATATCATGTCTCTAGTAGAGGTCAATAGAAATGATGGAAGGTGAAGAAAAATGTCATGAAGCCATATTTATAATAATCAGTTAAAAAAGATCAGGAAGGAGTTGGATTCCAATAATATCTTGGAAAAATACATCTCTGCTCTAGAAAATATGCTATGGAAACCATAATGCTGGGGGGACTGAATCTTGAAGAGAAATTCCCTGCATCTGGACACAGAAACTGGACTTCTCTACTTAAATATTATTTTTTATTTTTAAGTAAACGTGGTGCTAAAGAAGGTTCCAAAATAATATGCCTCAGGGATCAAAGGCCCCTATTTATACATCTGACAAGCACAGTTAGTTATACCATAAGAAGCATCCTTACAGATTTCCCTATATATCTTTCTATTAACATGGTTTTACTTTCCATGATATGGAAACTACATAAAGATTGTGAAAGCCAGTTATAGGAATTAGAACCTCTACTTTGTTGATCATTGGATGGTTGGGATTTCTTACTCCACTTATATTTTAGTGATTGCCCTATCTGGAGATCATCCAAAGTGTTTACTTCTGGAGAACCCCAACGTGGACAAAATGTGCTTAACTTAAGTTTCTGCTCTGAGAGAGAAAACAAATATGTCAAATTTGTTTCCTGGGAAGTATTTTTTTTCCATTGACTATGCTTTGAATTCCAGTATATTTATTTATCTGAATTTGTCTGAAGACATGATGATGAGGGATATTTGCAGTAAAATATAACTATCAGTGAAACATTTGTTTTTGCTAAATAGGGAGAATTCATAGATTATATGTACAACTCGATATTGTTACCAAAATTAATGAATGTGACAGATGCGCTAAAAGCTTGTCAATACAGCCACAAAACTTCTTTGAATAGAAGTTTCTCTTTTTCAAAAATATTCTACTGTTTGTATAACAGTTTCTCTCAATTAATGAGATTACTTGTGGCAAGGTGTCTGAACAATCATGTTTGTTCTTAGCTTTTTAAAAAAAATCTTAAATCTGATTTTGTCTGGCTAGACATTATTAGGCTATTAGCATTATTAAAGTGTGATTGTTAGATTCAGATTTTGTTTTACATTTTTGAGGGATTTTTACTTGACATTTTTTTCTTAGATGTTGTCAGATTGGCTTTTCCCCCGAAAGTATGTCCCAAAGCATTTAAGGCCCTTGATAAGTTAGTTTGAAAATACTGAGGAGGAAAATACTTCTCATGAGGTTCTTCTTTTCTGTAACTTCCTCCAATGCTGAAAGTTTCCATTTTCTTAATGAGGAATACTTGGAAGATTCATCTTACTTTTCTTTGACTTTTTGGTGTGACCTTAGTGTATTTTCATACTTCAATTTGACAGTGAAGTGGAGGGCAACATTTACCGGTATGATCTCCTAAAGGATTTCTTTTTGGTTGGTTGAGTTGCACTGGCGCCTTTATGTAAAGAAGACAGGGACTTTGAGAAGATGTCAAACAGAGAAGAACCAAGAACCCTTTCCTGGGGGAAAAGGGTAGCTCTTGATTTGAAAAAAATCTTACATGAGATAGCATTTCTGATTTACTAAGGATCATGCATTCATCCTTCTGCATACTGGTTGACTAAATCACTCAGAACATTGTTATACTTAAATTCATCTGGGTTTTTGAGAAGGGATCAAAGGGATTGGATGTGATCCAGCAACCCCTAATGACCAATGGGCAAGAAGGTTAGAAGAATGTCATGTGAAGTCTTAACTGAAAGCCAGCATCATATTGGTCATTAATGTTATGAAATGTATGTACAGATACTATGTTGGAGCCATGGATATATATTGAAAATACATTTTAAATTCTGTATTATGGCAAAAGTGAGAGCTTTTGTCAGACAAAAAATGTTTATTCACCTCTTTCTCATAAATTATATAAACAAACCATCAAAAAGTCAGCAGAGATGTGTAAAGTCAACAGGAAAAACAAGCAATGGGGTTATATTATGTCTCAGTAAAAACTGAGCTTTTGGGATGTAAGTATAAAGCAAAGAGGGCACCCCACTGATCCTGAATGTAGAAAGTAAATAGGCAGTGCATTTACATTCATGAAAATAGGATCACAACAAGCCTTGGTGGAAGATGCTATAAAAGGCTTTGGTGAGATGAACTTCTTTAGAAATTAGCCTGTTAAGTTTAGTCTTTAGAAAATGTACTACAAGTTTGTTTTATATGGTAATCTTTATTTTTCTGTTATCCTTAGTGATAGTCTCTTCTGTCATGAACCTCCTTGATTTCACCTTAAATATCTCTGAGCTGTGATATTAGGAAAGGTGCTGCTGGTGCTGACTTGAAGGATTTAAGTCGGTGTGCACACTGATCCCTTGGGGACAGCAGACCTGGTATTTCTGAGTGTTCAGCAGATACAACAAGGGAATGATTCAAACTGAGCTCAGGGCCTGGTATTACACTTTTTTTTAAAACTTTCAAGGTTAAGTAAAGGGTGCCACAGCCAAGCTGAGAGTGATTCAGTGGCTAATAAGCTGGGGATGTTAGGGCACTGACAGTTAAACACTCAGGAACTTCTCTCTTACTGAAGTCAAGGGAGTAACCAGATGCATCAGTCATGGGTGCCCTGAGAAACTCACACTTGAGCCCTGGCTCTTGAGGGTTGCACTTGCTTCTGTGTTGCGAACGATAGGAATAACTATGAGAACCTGTTTGAGGATAGATAGGCTAAGAGTAAGATTGCAGTGGAGGACTGTGGTGAGGCAGAATGGATGCCCACTGATCCAGAGAGGGAGGCGTCCCTCCCAGAGCCCTGGTGGGAGGATCCTGGCTAATAATGCTTGATAAAGCTTGAACCTCCACAGGAAAGAAATTTGGTGGTTTGAATGTTGGGAAGATTAACCAATTTAGCATTTCGGTTGAATGAGTGGCACCTAGTTGCTGCACTGGCATTCATGAGTTCAGCAAGATTGATGTGGTGAGTACACACATCTGTCCCCAGGGATGCTGGCTGGAACCCACGTGAAAGTAGTGAGCTAGTCTACAACAATCTCTTTAGAGATCTGTGGGTAGATGCACTGCTAACTAATATTTTGTTTGTGGAGAATTAGTCTAGAGCTCCTGCACAGTGAGACTTCCCTTTACTGTCCAATACGTGTGTCTGGTGATGAAGTGAGTTGGAGATTCCCCTCAGGTATATCAGTAAGGACTTTTGGCGTCTCAACATCTGGGCCAGGCAGACTTACTCACTATTCTGCTGCAGGAATCTCAGCCTTTCCCACAATCTAGGAAGCTTAAAAGTGAGGAACCTTTCCAACAAAATGAGCATAGCTTTTCTTTAACCCTATGATGGAAAAAGTTGCTGCATTTGACGGATCTTTTTGAACATTGTTTGCCTTTTGTCATCCATTTCAGAGCAGCTTCCCGAGCAGAGGAGGGAAAGTTATGCCTCCAAGTAATTATCTCCTACAAAGCCAAACTCCCCATAGCTCAAGGGGAATGGAAATAGGAAGAATCTGAATTTGGAAAATTAGTATGAAATGTAAGGGAAGTTTCAGTAAGCTTTTGTTTTCTGAAGTTCCAGTGAGGAGGAGAAATTCTGAGTATTGTGTACTATATCTCTGAGGAGTTATGGGGTTCTCAAATTTCATTGTACCACTGTCCTCTTCTGACAACAAAATTTACTGTGTGACTCCAAAAGGGGTCCCTAAAACCTGAGCCCACCCGCGCCCTTCTGCCCTGGGTGGTTTGGCCAAAGTAGGGATGTTAAATATCGGTTAATTGACTGGTTGTGTAACCTCATGAATTCTTATCAGTTAGTCAACTATTCTATAGTCCCCTGGGGTGGAGCCAGTAGCCAGTGTGCTCAGGCCTTACTCCTGAGCAGTCCCCTGCCACTTTGCACTGTTGACTCTGTAACAGTTTAAAAAACCACTCCCCTCATGGATCAGCTGCCTGTCACCCTATACTGCTGCCTATAATTCAGAGGCAGCAGCCCCTGACTGGGGGTGGACAGTCTGAGCTCGTGAACCTGGTGTGAGCCGGAACTGAGCTGGGCTGCCTGCCCACCTGGCTCCTAATACACTTTAACTGCAGAGCTGCAGTGGGGATAGGTCCCAGACCCGGCATGAACCAGGACTCTACTAGCCAGCCTGCTAAAAAAAAATTACTGAAAGGTGAGGGAGGAAAATACATGTAGTCTGTAGCATCAACCGATAAGCTTTTGCTTATCGGTTAATCAACTACACTATTACATCCCTAGGCAAAAGCCCGAGCCCCACCACCCTGGGCATGGAATCAAAGCCAAGTCCCAAGGGCTTCATCTCCAGGCACTGGGGTCTGTAACCTGAACCCTCCCACCAAGAACTGAAGCCCTCAGGTTTTGGTTTCAACCATGGGTGATGGGCCTCGGGCTTTGGCTTCATCCCCAGGTAGTAGGATTCAGGCTTTAGCCCTGGATAGTGGGATGTGGGCTTTGGCCCCAGGTCCCAGTAAGTCTAATGCCAGCCTTGGTGACTTCATTAAAATGGGATTGCTATCTCTTTTGTGGTATTGACCCAAAGTTTGAGAATCACTTAGGTGGCAGGGCTTGTTCCATGATTGCTGTATAATAGGTAGATTTGAATCCTGTTAACAGTGAAAGGGAAAATACCATTGTAAGACTATCAGACGTACTAAAGTAGGAGGAGTCTGAATAACTTG